AGAGCGGGATGAGGCATGCTGCCCACCTTTAGGCATCTTGGATGTCCAAGCTGGGAGCTGAGGCTCCTGAGGCATCCTGAGACTTCTTTCAGAGCACCTGAGATTAAAACTGCCCCACCGCTCATGTGCAGCACAGAAGCACCTGAAGTTAGACTGTGAACGATTTTCTCCTTTCTCCCCAAAGTTATTTTTTCCTTTGGCTTCTCCCTTTCCATCGCTAAGATTGCAAGCTCTGTCCAAGCTGTTCTCATCTCTGCATGCCCAGAGAAATAAACCAAATTATAATAATAGCATACAAAAAAGGTGAAGTTTGTCTCAAGACCATGGTACTTCTGTTAAAATGACCGGAGGCACAACACTCATGCCCCAAACCAGGGGGGAGGCAGGCAGGCAGGGAGGAATTAGTACTAGCAACACAGGCAGTAATTCATCCGAACCAACAGAAAGGAGCTACGGACTTTCTTCTTGCCCTTCTCAAGTAAATGACTTGTAACAGACAATAAAGGTTTCTATACCAATAAAACAGACAAAGCACTTAATACTTGTAATTTTAGCCTCAGAGAGTAAACTATTCAATCTTTCATTTTTTTTATTTCTTTTACTTCTGAAAAGATCACTAGCTCCTCACTCTGGTGCTTCCACAGCAATTTAACAGGCATCAACTGACAAGATAACAAATTGATAAAAGCTCAATCCAAAGGAGAAATCTCTCTACTCTCGTTTAAAGCAGAAACTTTCCTATTTGGCTCCCTCTGAGAAAATCCAGCATAAATAAATACAGTGCTTTTCCTACCCTCTTCATTTAGAAAAAAACCACCACCACCACCATGTGATGCAGCCTCAAGGCCACAGCTTTCTAGAAAGAAAGGCCAAGTGAACGAGTTGTTCCTGAAGAGTTTGCCTAAGTGCAGAAACAGCGTCACACCAAGCAATGAGCAGCCAGACGAGTGCCTTAAATCACACATCGCAGATGCTTCTCGATCCTCCATGGAAGCTAACACAAGGAAGCGCAGCCATCGCGGCCGCCGAAGGACAGTGGGGAGGCGGGGCGGAAATACAGGGACGCTGCCACAATTTTTACGCTGACTGTACTTCTGCCAGACAGCTCCTCGAAAAGGCAAGACCGCCTGGCCACCAACAACAGCCGGGCAATGGGTCAGGCAAACAAAAGCCCTGTATCTCCGTTTTGCGGAGGTGGAGCCGTGACCGGGTGGCTGAGCAGGCGCGAAGCAACGTATCAACTGGAAAACTACCATGAACAAAAACCCAAGCATTACCACAAAAACATGAAAACCTGGGGGAAAAAAAAAAAGAAGTTTCTGTGAAAATACTGTAATGGGTTACCTTTATGTGGATGACTCTTCACGCTCGCCTAGACTGAGTCACTCTGTGAACTGCCTTGTGGTCCATCCGTCTGCCAACTCCTGGCTAAACTTGAACATCCTGTGACTGAAATGAATGCATCAAAGGCTAAAGCCCCGCAAGGTAACAAGGTTTTCTTTGTCCAGCACTTCCAGATGCACCAGCATTCCCCTTACGCTAGCTCTTAGGTATCCTCTGGGTCTATATTTGGTACGTTTCTGACTTTCAGAGCCTTTAAAAAACTGATAGACTCAGACTCTGCCTCTCACCCCGCTTTCACGGACCTCCTCAATCCATCCCTCCCCATGTACCCGTGACATCAGCCCGCTCAGCCCCAGCATCGCACCACCGCCGTTTGCAGAACGCGTAGGGCCAAGAACTTTTGTGCGCCGTCACTTGCCCTCTCGCTGTTCTGAGGGCTGCCGGTGCAGACCTTACCCCAGCACGGCTGACAAAGCCTGCCCTCTTCACTTGCAAAGCATCACTACGACATGCACCATGTCTGCTGCTCCCTCAGCGATCTCCACTCCCCAGGTACTACCCCCAGGCCAGAGACGCTGCACCATCACCTCCTTCCCACACTGCAGCGAGCCCTCCTCTGTTCACTGGTTAGCACTTGCCTTCGGGTGCAACTTAGCCAGGGCCAAGTCTCCCTGGAAAGAGGCTTGCAGTATTTCATACAACAGACACTACAGGGGAAAAAAAAGTACAGTCTCGGATGTGGATCTGTTTTCAGTTTTTCATTGCTTTGGATATATAATTTTGCTGCCACCTCCATAAACAATTTTCAGATACTGGAGGACACAATTGCTGCAGATGAATGCGGGCACAAAAACCACTTTGACACCATCTCTTACAGAAAGCAAGCCTGCGTTGCTGGATTCTGCGCTTCCACCGTCTGCCTTTCAACCTACTTGCAGTTGTAGGGGAAAAAAAAAAAAAAAAAGTATTACTTACATTCCCAGCTTTCCTCCCCAGATCAGGAACAGTCTCCTATCTCTTAGGTGACAATATAAACTTAAATCATTTTTCCTGCCCTCACTAAAACCATTTTAAAACCAGTAGTCAGGAACAAAACAAACGTCCCAGCTAATGTAATGTGTATTACTCAGTGATGATAAACACTATACACCCACCTAGACTTTTCACTTGATGTGGTTGGAAACTGCTATGTAAGGTGGAAAAAGTAAGGTAGGCAGCTTTTATTTTTGGCATTTGTTTAAGAGTTTAGGCTTATTGCAGCAGTACATTTATACTCTGGCTCCTCGTGCTGCTTGCAGCCAACTGTGTAAAGGTATTTTGTGGCTATTTTGCGGGGGGGGAAGAAAGAGGTATCACTCCCCTGTGTCTCCTACTCCACCGCACTGCCAGGCTGCAAGAAGGGAGTGCACTGGGAGGGGACCTCCTCTTCCTCACCCCCAGAGCAGAGCTCGGCAAGGTAAAGCTCTGTCTAGCCAACAAAGCTCTTTACCACGAATATCCTTATTAAACACAGCCTTATCAGAGACTGGTTTCTGCAGTCTGAAGCAGTCAGGAATTAACTCTGTCAATATTTAAAATTTCAAGCCAGGATTAGAGCCCAGACCCAAGGGGATGCGAGCAGGCGTGTGAGCCACAACACAGGCACCCGAGTGTGCTCAAGGGCTGCCTGAGCGGCCAGGGCTCAGGCTCTGTCCCTGCTGCCTTGGTGGTACCCCGGCCCCCCGAAGGGCTCGCTCCCCCAGGCTGCTGTGGCAGGAGGAGGGGGACGCCAAAACTCGCCTCTATTGTGGGATGCAGGGGAAAAGGCTGTGCCAATGCTTGCATAAGAGGTCGGGCTGAGGAAAGAGCCCAGGTCCAGCGGCATCCACTGTGTGCAGAGGGCAGGGAAAGCCAGCCTGGAGGGGGGCAGACAGCACCCCACAAGTGTAGCCCAGGACTGTCGGGATGGGAGGCTCACCAGCACTTCCCAAAAGGGTGCCACCAGCCAGCAAGGTGCATGGCCAGGATATAAACTCATTCGGTACGCTCCTTTGGCAGCCTCTGGCTCTAATCCCCACCCACAGGATCAGGCTATGTCTCCTGCCTTATCCATAAGATGAAGCCGTCTATCCCCGACACAGCCCTCGGGACAGGGCTGGCAGGACCAACGCCGCCTGCCTTCCCTCCAGGGTGAACCTCCGCTGGCACGGCACGGCATGGCACAGCACGGCTGCCTGCCCAGCCTGGAGAAGGCGCGAGCTTCACCCCACCACCCCGTGAGTCACAGTCTTAGTGGAGACCTTGCTCCTCCTGCTATACATATTAAAAGCTGGCAATGCTATTGACGGAGACTCCATGAAACATGTTCGTAATACTGCGCTAATAAGGCAGCGGTGAGGATATTGCGCCCTGTCATTAGCAATCCTGGTGAAGAGCCTTCACGCTGCCCTTTCCTACCGAAAGAAATCTCTGCAAAAAAATCAATGTTGCTGTACTGTTTTTGTCAGACCTACGAAGCTTGGCACAGAGTCCTCAGGTGTAGGTGCTGGGCTTTTGCCAGAAAAGGTCAGTCTGGGTAAGCGGTGAAAATAAACAGCATGTTACGGGAAACACTGCAGTCTGCATTTTTTTCCCCCCCTCAGATAATCCACTGTCCCAACCCAATATGCTGCTCCTTACATTCAGTGCAACAGGGGATGCTTGCAGTGACTGGCATTGCAAAATAACAATTCACATGTCATGACATTAACCTTAATACTCGTGACTGTAATAAGGGCTATTCCAAGCCTGTAATACATTCTGCATTGCCCTCTCAACTGAAAAATGGAAGCATCTTTCCTGGGACTCACAGTATTGCTGCTAGCTCATTTCCACTGAAGACATATAGAATTGTTGAAAAAACATATATAAATAGGTAGAATGACATGAAAATCAGAGGTTATGCCCATTAGCCTTTCATAGTTTTCCGCCGGCATTGTTAGCGAACCCAACAAAGAACTAGAAGAAAGGTTAGAGAAGTTGTAGGAAAAAGAAGAGAGCCAGTTTTGATCTTACCTTCACTTGTACTGTATCAAGCCTCTGAGCTGAATTATAGCCTTGGCGCAAAAACCAGAACATGTATTATTTGTTGCATGTTAATCTACACATCAAAATCATCACGCTAATGATTGCTTAAGATTTCACTGCAAGTTCCTCTGTATTTCTTACTGCTCAGAATACCCATGCACCTCCCAGTAAAGCAGAAGTACATTTCAGTGCATGCCTAAACTACAACAATTTTTAAACCCTTCCCCTTCCTCTGACCTTAGTACTTTTAGTAGCTTTAGTACCTTTGCAACAGGTACTAAATGGTTAAGTTCGCTACTGAGTCCAGTTACGAACATGGGGAAAATACTTCCATCGCTTTTGGCATGAAGTGCAAAAATTCGCCTTTCTGCTTGACTAAAAGCCTGAAAAACAAACAATGCACACAGCATACATTGTTCAAGAAGTGAGTGCAAACAAGCTTTAAAGCAGATTAGCTGTGTAGCTCTCGTGCGGGAGCAAAGCGGAGGGAACCTACTCCACCACCCCAGCACCCCGGGCAGAGGGTGCAGAAATGGCCACGCAGCACCGACGGGGATCCTGACCATTAATTGCACGCACAATTTTAAATTATTAAACGTTTTAACTTACACTGATCTAAACATAACACCATCTAGGGAAAATTAAGTTTTTATGGTGCTTATGCTATATCAAGGACTGGCTACTATAAAGAGACAGGAAAAGATTTGAGATAGAGAGTGCAGATTGCACTATGCGAGATGTTTTCGGTTTCCTTCAAAGTGGTTCCCTGTTCAAAAACAGGCTTTGGTGTGAGCTTTTGAAACCTACTAACTATGCAAAACCTGCTGTTACCTGTGTGATGGTATTTCTCCAGCACTTGCAAGCTCCTCGTGCATCTAACAGTCCATGTCCCCCCAATAAATATAATAACCAGGGTTAACTCCGTTAATCAAATCGAAAAGTAAATGAGGAATTGCACTTTGGTGTTGCAGGAGACAACCTGGGAAAAGGTGTGAGGCTCAGAAAGAGATCCCAAGGAGCAGCCATCATACACAGAGCACAGGTACAACCCAGCTTTAAAAGTCCCCACATGCAAACTCCTGCCTGCAAGCCTCTCTCCCCAGGCTCTGGTGAACACTACCCGAGCTGGAAGCCAGCTGGTGTCGCAGCCCCGTAGACACGCGAGTCTCTCCTCTCATCACCAAATTTAACAAAAGAAGGCACCAGGCAGGGCAACAGAAAGTCCTGGCCATCTGCCTCGCTCCCTGCAGTGGAAAAATGTGACTAAAGGAGAGATGTAACGAAGCTGCCACTAGCCCTAGCATTTAAGGCTTCATTTTATTTAGCTTGCATACCAAGAGCTTTAACAAGACAAGGCCTTCACCCCCAAAAAGCACGCACCCTTTATTTAAAGATTTATTCACCCTTTTCCAAACAAAATGAAGCAGCTTTCAGCGAGCCAAAACCTGTGGACAGATTTTCAGTCACCAGAAGCAGTAGTAGGGGCCTTCATTCCTACTCAAGTCAGCAAAAATCAGGTGCCTAACCCATCCGTGCTTCCGAAATCCCCTCAGTAATAGCTTAATGCAACAAAAGGGAGAAGCAAACGGGTTTTGTCTATAGGCTGCTTCTCAAACAAAGAATACAAATTGCATGTGACAGGCTGCTGCACGAGTTTGACTGTGTCTACGTGCAAGTGGAAGAGCTAATGGAGAAGTATGCCAGCTTCAGAAGGGCATATTGCTGCCAGTTGTTTTTTATAATAAAAAAAAAAAAAAAAAGGTATCCCAGAGATCCTGCAGGCCCCGTTACGTAAGACCCCATGATTTGAGCAACCTGCAATTTGGAAGTAGCATGCACCACTGCCTGCCCATGGCCGTGGACCCCATGGGCCACAGAGCTCAAGCATCAGGGCTGGCTGCCCTTGCCGGGCACAGGGCACTAAAGAGAGTCCCGTTCTACTGTCCTAAGAGCTAATGCCAGTCACACCCAAACCTTCCTCTTTCTCTTTAAAGGCATTCATCTTCATGTCCCAATGCACCTGTTTGCAGCAGCATTGCACCTCCGCCGCTACAGCTGTGAAACAGGTAACTGCCAAGCAGGCGGAAAGCCGCGCTTTGAGGAACACATCCTTCGGAGGCAAAGCTGCCTCAAGCAGGTCTCTTCTCCTGCTGCCCAGGCCTGTTCCTGCACTGGCCCCTGGGACTTTTTTGAGCTGCTTAGGTGGTTGCATGAGTGGGTAACCAGACCAATGTAAAAATACCCTGGCTTTTCCCCTGGTGTATTGTTTTCCACCCTTAGTAGTTCCCCACTCTAGAGAGCTGCCTGCCTACACACAGCTCCACGACCACGATGTGAGTGCAGGCTCATGTTGGGTGGCGCGGGTCCAAATAGAGCTCCCACAGTCTTTTTTTTTTTTGCTTCTTCCTGACAGATTTTGGCCAGATCAGCTGTCTGAACTGGCCTGCTGAAGAGCAGAAGAATTGATGTTGGTGGAGAAAGGGAGGAAAGAGGAAACCATGGGGGACGTGGAGAGAATAGGGAGGACACAAGACAACCGAAGCCCTTCTTAAGAGTCAGCTCATTGCCATAGAAGATGTGGCTGTGAGAAGCAGCGCTCCTCTCTGTGCCCTGAGACGAAGCTAGCCTCAGTGAGCGTGAAATTGCAGCCCAACTGCAACCAGTTGCTTCAGATGGAATCAGTCTGACCAAGCACCTCAAATTCAAGGATTTTTTTAAAGTTTTGGTTCATCTTTCAAAAGCAGAGAAGGAGCAAAATACAAAATTTAGATCCAAATCTTCCTGTGTAGGATGCCTGGACTAAGGTAGGGGGCCAGGTCAGGCATCTGTTAATTAAAAATCTCACCTGGGCCTTGCCAGCTTCCAGAAGGCTCTTCTGCTCATAGCTCCCTAGCTGTACAATGGAATCGCCCTTTCTGCCACCGCCCTGTATCTTCTGCAGTTCTCCCTGGGTGATAAATACTAAAGTTTGTAAACACACTGGGATTTTGATGTGGTTTTTTTAGTTCACAAAAATATTCAAAGCGACACCAGTATTTGGCAATACTGGAGAAACCATACCCAGCAAGTTATTTTCTCACACTGAGCATTTGGGGAGAAACATCCAGTAAGGTGTTGGTGTGCTAATGTGACATCAGTTCATAAGAGCCAGCACCTTGCTCAGTTGTTAGCATTTAAAAGAGGTTGAGGCCTTCAGAGGGACCCAAGACAATTAGATGCTCCAGACTCATTGAATTTCAATTATATTTGTGCACTTACTTCCTTCAGGTTCTTCTAAAAATCAAACCCATCACTTACACCTACAATCATACTTAAGTTTTGAAGCCTTTCTCCCTTTGTGTGCATGCAACTCTTTATTGGGGAAAATCTTTTGTGTAGATGATTAACTTCAAAGGTACTGAAGTATTTCTTGAATTAAACACAACTTAAGCACATTTATATTTAAGCAGGTGCTTGCCTGCTTTTCTGAAGAAAGATGAACTTCATTACATGTCTACCTATTTTTCTAAACAGGAGCCCTTCATGAATCTAGTATCACTTTTTGCATGTTTCTTTTTTTTTTTTTTTATTTTTAAACAAGATGCTCACACCACACTACAGAGTTTATAAACTCAGTTATTTTTAGACCCCTATAATACTCTCAGACTGGGATATGTAAGTACAGAATATACTGACTTATTTTGAATATATTCATTTTCATCCGAAGAAAACCATTTACCCATATCCAGTTTCACTACAAATTTAAGCAGTATACGATTAGCACTAATTGTTGGATATGCCCTATTACTGTGTAATATGCTGATCTTCTAAAACCTTGAGTTGTAATCTTTAATAATCTGTCCCTAAACAGCAGTCTAAACTCAGCTTCTCCTCATAGTTTGCTTTACCGTATTTGACTTGTTAATAATCTTCCCAAAAGCTGCACTCAAAGGGCAGTAAAATGTAAAGATCTACGTTAAGATAGACATATTTGGATTCTTCGCCTTAGAAATCAGTAATGCTAACTTTCATATTCTAAGTAATGCTTAGATGAAAGACTGGCACTAAAGTATTTCCCAATGAAAAGTGGGGAAGTCCTTTACAGCGCCTTATGCAAGACTGGAAAAAAAAAAAAGGCACAAGCACAGCAGACATTGAATGACCACTCTCATAAACATGTATGTCTAACTTCCAGTCTGAGGAACTTGCACCTTGAGTCTTTCCAAGCACGGCGCTTGGCCAGAGCGCTGCTGGGAGAACCCAGGACGGGGGTAAGGCAGGGACACCGGCCAAGGTCAGCTTGCCTGCTAACACACTCCATGAAAATTTCAGCTGCACCAGAGTGGAGGTTTTACGCAGAGAGTGAAGCGACTCTGCCCTTTTGCACATCTGCGACGCAATGCACTATTAAGCAAAATTAACTGATTATGTAGCAAACACGGCAAAATGAAGCACTGACTCCTCTGACAGTGCTATCTCCTTTTTAATGAGGCACAGAACAATCTGTTACCAGGACTAGCGCTGCAGACAGTGTTTATAGTAATGGGTCCCAGCTCGTCTATTTTTTTATAGTTGAGTACGTACCACAGATGCCAGAGGTATCATACATTAACTGCTGAGCCTACGGGGGCACAATATCTGGCCATGTCACTGGAGTATTAACAAACTTGTACAAAGGACCTCCAACAGTTTAATATGTTTAACGACATATATTCTAGTCCTCCCAATCTGTTCCAGAGGCCTCCACCTTGCCTGATAAACACTCGGTCCAACCCATTCACACCTGTGTGGCTCATCCTCCTCGGTTACCTAGAACCTTCCTTGCCTCCAGTATGTTGTGCTGGCCATGCTTAACTTATCAGGCTTCTGTAAGCCAAGGAGTGGGTGAAGAACATTACCAGGAAACCCTATGAGGAACTGCAGAATCAGCTAAACTGTGCACAAAATAGGTCACTTCTGCATTACCGAATGTACTTAGTGCAATTACAATCACAGATAACCATTCTGACCTGAAAAAAATATGATAAGGAACAGAGAAGAAGGGAAAGCCAGCAACAGCAAATGTGAAGTCCTATTTCTTCACAAGAGAATGCCATCCACAGGTCACCATGCCTGGAAAAAGAATAGGCTTTAAAACGGACATGGCTTTTATCACGTAATTAAAGGCTGCAAGAAGACACATTTAGGTTTTCCAGTACTGTGATGAACATCAGAAGCAAGAGCATTAAAAAAAAAAAAAAAAAAAAAAAAAAAGAGCATTAAAGCATTAAAAATCTGTAACAGCAGCCTCTAGAAAGGAACCAGATGGAAGCTGCTACCCATGCAAGAACCTGGGTGGGAAGCCCATCCTTCCCAAGAACCCCACTGTCTTTACACAAAGCCTCCTCATCGCTTGAAACTTCTCAGAAGAGCACCCTTTGCAGCGTGCACCCCTGCAAAGTGCCTTTAGCCTATAAGATAAGAGTAAGAAACAGTTTTCAATTCTCAGTTCTCAAGGGGCCGTGCATCTTCGAAAGAAGGTCTCTCGAATCTGCTCCCCAGTGACCATTGACACCAACTCTTCCGCCTGGATATCCTGCTTAACATTCACACCCAACTAACTCTAGTGAACAACCCTCGCTCAAGTGAGGCTCTTCCCCCAAGGAGCCAGAAAGTCTTGTATTAAACATATCCTGACACGTGAATGTCTTGCATTAATGAAGCAGGTTGGCACAGAATGTGAAGATAACACGTGCATTAGTGAGCATCCCTTCTTGCGCAAAGCAGTCCACAGGCTGCACTTCTTCCCCTTGCAGACAGAATCCCTTGCAATCCATTACAGGTTTGAGCGTTTCCTTATGTGAAAGCACAAATGCAACTTAACGCCTTTAAAAGTAGTAAGGGCTCACCTTGGAAGTTGGGATTCAGACTGTTTTGAATGAGACAACCAAGCGAAAGTGTGCCATGATGAGTACAACTCTTACGGCGCAGCATGCAGACTGACAGGAAAGCATCATGAGGTATGGGGTATTTCGTGCCAATCAAATTTTTTCATGTCAATTATCAAATTATTTCATGTCCATCGAAATTATCGCTCTCCACTCTGTTCTCAAAACACTCTCCAAACAGGCCATAAGCACTACTGAAAACAACAAGACTCCTTCATTTTCTTTGCAGCATGGTTTCTTGTGCAAGGTGAACATGCTCATCATCTAAACAAGTGGGTTTCGTAAATGAAAAAATATGTGAAAATAAAACTATTCTGATTTCTTGGTTGTTTTCAGTATGTCACTTGAGAAACAGAGGTCTCAAGATTACATACAGGATAGCATTGATGCAGAAAAGGACTGTGACACTACACAAAACCATAACGAAACTAATTCTTCCATCTCCTCCTAATCCCTCTGAGAATGCAGGATATTTACATTTATCATCACCATCGTTTGACTTCCCAGCCCTGACTGCTGGCTACAGTAGTACAGTATGTACTGTTCAGAGTTGCTGAGTCAAAGAAAAAACAGCTCAAGCAATTAGAAAACAAACAAAACTGGACATTTCTTTCTCTCCCTCCCCTCCTCCTCAAATAAAACGACATCGTAGACTGTGAATCACACCGCGGCCATGTCTCTATCAAAAGCCTCGTACTTGCTATTTCTTTTGCTGTGCGTGTAGACAAGAGAAAAATGTTTCACTGAGAGTTAGTCATCATAAAGTACCTGCTGAGTCAATCATTTATCTTTGCAATGCAGGATATCTCAAGATTTCTGTTTCTGGACTGCAGATTTTTGGAGGAGGGAATATTAACTAGGGAGAGGTCACGTCGTATGTTTGATCCTAATACTTGTTGGCTTAGGAGGAGCACAGTTTTGTGTGACTTGTTCAGTTTTAAAAATGTACCTGCCAACACTTAAAGTAATTTTATTGTTACAAGAAAATCAAGAAATATAATATACTATGTTATATACACATTCTTTCTCTCTTTGTGGCTCAGTTTGGACCATATATATTGCTAACACATAAACTGGACCCCTAAAAGCTTCTCGTGGGCTGAAACTTAAAATTAACAATGTAGAAGCACCCCAAGCAGTAGGTGAACAGTCCCATTTAAATAACACCAGAAAAACTGGAATCAGTTTACAACAAGTTTTCAAAACCAGCATTTAATGCAGCTATAAAGCCTTTAAGCGACACGAAGATGCATACTTCCAGGTAGAGATATGCTATGGCTGCGTTGAAAGGCACGGGCGGAATGGAAAATGTATTCGCTCCAACCAACCACTGCCAGTGTATTTCTCTCTAAAGAAAGCAAATGGCTGAATAATCAACTGCAAATGACTTCTGGGTCACAGCAGGAGGCGGAGAGGTTGAAACCTTGAACTACTGCTGCTGATGTATAGTATCTTTATCTCCCTGCTCCCTATGGCGTGTAGTTGCCGGTTATCTCAAAGGATGAATGACCTGCCTTGCAATGAATTATGCCTGCTTATCTTCCAGACGGGGTATACACTAAGTCATTAAGTCATCTAAGAATATAACCCCAAGGGAATTAGTAAATGAATGCAAAATCCTGTCCTGCTCTTAGCCCTTGTGTCAGACTTCTGTGTGCTGCTGGTGCAGGCACCCGGGGAGCGAGGAGGGGGCTTGAACGTCTCTCACCTGTTGGCTACCTGTTTTCCGTGATTGACTTTTTCTGCTTCTGATGCTGCAAAGTTAGATTATGACAGAGTAATAACAGCAGCCATTTCCTACAGAGGAAAGGGAAATGCGGTCGCCTCTGACCACCAAGATTTCCAAACCACAAACTTACCAGCTGAGACAAGCAGCCAACGTGAGACTAGCAGAGAGCTCACGGCTATCCTGTTTGTGTTGGGATAGAACGGGTTTTGTCCAGATGAAAGGGTGCACTTTTTCTGAAGAGCAACGCATTTTTTTTAATTAAAAGAAATTGATTTAGTGACAGGATTTACAATAGGGTATCTGACAAGCCCA